TGTATCACCCCCTTCTTTTCCATGATCTTCCATAACCTGGGAGGGTCAGTTGGCAAAATTCCACACAGTAAGCAAGACGTACTGCCATTTAAAGAGGCTCAAACTATCTCCCTGGGGAAAAACAAAAACCCTGTGGCTAAAAATGTCAAGTCTGGGGGCGCCTGGGTGGCGCAGTCGGTTAAGCGTCCGACTTCAACCAGGTCACGATCTCGCGGTCCGGGAGTTCGAGCCCCGCGTCAGGCTCTGGGCTGATGGCTCAGAGCCTGGAGCCTGTTTCCGATTCCGTGTCTCCCTCTCTCTCTGCCCCTCCCCCGTTCATGCTCTGTCTCTCTCTGTCCCAAAAATAAAATAAAAACGTTGAAAAAAAAAATTAAAAAAAAAATGTCAAGTCTGGGATCTTAAAGTTCTATTGGAGAAACTGGGGGGGGGGGGGATGTTACTTTCTTGGTGGGAGACTAGGTTGGATCACTGGAATGTCTTTTTCCCAGCTTGTTAATTTATATGATTTGAGGAAAATAGACCTTAAAAGGAGTATACAAAGCACAATTTTTTGGAGAACAAAAGTGAGCACCAGTTACATCAGTATTTTGAGAAATGTTTTTATGAATTTTTTTTTTTTTTAATTTTTTTTTTTCAACGTTTATTTATTTTTGGGACGGAGAGAGACAGAGCATGAACGGGGGAGGGGCAGAGAGAGAGGGAGACACAGAATCGGAAACAGGCTCCAGGCTCTGAGCCATCAGCCCAGAGCCTGACGCGGGGCTCGAACTCACGGGCCACGAGATGGTGACCTGGCTGAAGTCGGACGCTTAACCGACTGCGCCACCCAGGCGCCCCAGTTTTTGTGAATTTTTAATAAAATTTGCAAATGATGAAATATCACATTTAAAAGAATCAATTAAATGCTTAAATAGGGACTTAAGCCCCTAATTATTGGGAAAAGGTAAAAATTCCCAGATTTCTGAGTTCATGATAGTAAACTTGTTATTTCTTTCATAATATTCACATAATGCTCATGACAAATATAGTTCAAATGGAGATGTTTTATTCCCAACATTGATTGTTCAAATGAAACTCACTTATGTTGAGTATCACCATGCCAGGGATATAGACCATAGAAAAATTATTCCTGGGGTTCTTGGGTGACTCAGTCAGTTAAGCATCTGACTCTTGGTTTGGGCTCAGGTCATGATCTCACGGCTCTGTGGGTTCAAGCCCCAAATCAGGCTCTGCACTGGTAGTGTGGAGCCTGCTTGGGATTCTCTCTCCCTCTCTCGGCCCCTCCCCACTCACACTGTTTCTGTCTCTCTCAAAATAAATGAATTAAGAAAAAGAAAAAGTATTCCTGACTGATGTATGTATTGTTCATGTGTGTAAAAATGTGTATGTATGTGCATATATAATTTTATACGTTCATAAAATTTTTGAACATTGAAAAGGATTTTTACCCACTAGAGAGAGTTTGCTATTTCAATCTCTCACACCATAATTTTACATCATGGAGTAATGGTTAAGAGCATGGGTGCTGGATCTGATTGCCTGGGCTAAAACCATTAATTTGCTGTGTGACCTTGGGCAAGGTACTGGACCTTTTTGTGTAGCAGTAACCTCATCTCTAAGAAGAGGGCAATAGCTACACCTGACCCATGAAGTGGCTGTGGGGATTAAGTGAATCAGAACATGGCATTGTATAAAGTACAAAATAAATGTGAACTTTACTCAGTAACATTACTAGTAAGTGCAAGGCCCATGCTAGCTGCCTTGGAAGATAAAAGAGACACAGTCTTAACCCTTACATGGCTTACTGTCTAGCTGAAAACTCAAGCTATAGTCTCATATAAAGTTAAATATTAACGCCTGAGAAGAACATCAGCAGTTCAGTTCAGCTGCATAGACCATCCTCTTAAATACAGAAGCCATATAGGCTGGGTGACCTGGAGTATCTTTATATAAAGTGGTAGTCTCACATTTGTTTCTCTTCACCTGACGCTTATCTCTTTGACATGATGAAAACAGGCTGGAGGCAGATTGTGTAATAAACACCATTTGCAGTGGCCCAGTCTACATTAACCTTGCAGTGGTTTTGCCATGGATGAGCAGTAAATGACGCAGATGCCGATGCTGGATTAAGGCTCTTGACAAGAGGTTGGTTGAGCTGTGAGTGCTCTGAGAAGTGGGCCAGCCCACCAATTTCTGCAATTTTTAGAGGGGCAGTGACTGCTTCAGCTAATTTTTAAGTTTTTCTGAGATTTACAGACAATTTCAGACAGTGGTTATCCAGTTTTAAGTGGTAATTTTGTACAAGGACTGGCACAAAACTGCATGTCTAATTGCCTGACAAATATTACAGTTAACTTCTCTGTGAGATTGAGGACAGGACTACTTACGATGGTCTGGGATGTTCATGGAAGGCCTTGGGAAGAAGTAGTTATGAAAAAGCCTTCAACAAGAATTTAAGGTAATCCTTGGACTAATCCTTTTTAAATCAAATATTAATTCCCCTTATTATTTTTTTTTAATAAAGAGAAATGCCTTTATTTATTTATTTTTAAAATTTTAAGTAGGCTCCAAGCCTGTGGGGCTTGTACTCACGACCCTGAGATCAAGAGTCATATGTTCTACCAACTGAGCCAGCCAGGCACATCATCCCTTAACTCAATTTTTAAATTAATCGCTCTGGATTTTCACCTACACACTGTCCCTGAATGGTGCTCATTTCAAAAGATAATTTTGTGTCTAAGTTATGAGTTTAATACATTTTCATTATGTTGATCGGAGTATATAACCTTTATCTATAAAACTGCTTCTGTGGGGAAAACAGGGGTATTCTGAATTTCAGAAGATCAATTTAGAAACCCATTTTTTAAAAACTCTACTTTGGTTGGTTCTTTCACTCAACAATTATTGCTTTTCATTAGTATCAGACACTGTTGTAGGCTCACATGAACAAAAGAAAGACACCTGACCTCATGGAGTTAACATTCTGGAGAGGAGAGACAGTTAAACAATATACCGAAGAAATAACCGTGTAGTGTGTTGGAAGGCAATAAGTCCTAAGGAATAAAGAAAAAACAGTGCAGGGTATGAGGGATGGGGATGCATGGCAATTTTAAACAGGATGGTTATGGAGATTACACTTAAGCAAAGTGTGAAGGGAGCCAGCCAAGATGACCACTTAAAGTGAGGGAAGAGTATAGAAGGCAGAAGAGCCAGTGCAACGTTGCAGCAGGAGCTGACCCAGTGAGTCTGAAGAATAGCAAGGAGGCCAGTACAGGCGGAAAGGAGTTGGGGGGGGGG